TATGAATATGAATATGAATATGAATATGAATATGAATATGAATATGAATATGAATATGAATTCATATAAGATATCAATGTTAAGATCTTTGAATATCAATATGAATATGAATGTGAATATGAATACATATAAGATATCAATGTTAAGATCTAATTTACGGAGAGATGAAGAAACTAAAAATAAAGTTCGCTAGATTTTCTCATTTTTATGAATAAGTCTTAGTTTTATGGTCGAAATAAATACTTGAGTTCGCAAAGTATTTTACTACCAATTTCAGAGCCATTAATGTGGCCCATAAATAAAGTTGTTCGCTTGAAGAGCTTTTAATTTGCGCCCAAGGCACTGTTCGGTTTCAATCTGCCCCAAAGCCTTGTTGCTCTGGGCACAATTTATATATACGTATATGTAAATCTGGTCAACTCGGGTGCTTAACGTGTTTTTAATTATGTTTCAACGACAGGCTCATTATACAAGAAACCCTGAGAGTGAGAACAAGAGCGAGAGAGAGAAAGAGAGATATCTGCACATGAGTTAAACAGCGTATGAGAGCTCCATGATTAATGTATGAGCACGCCAAGCAGAAGAGCATGGCCGAAGAACAGGTAGGAGCAAGTGATAGGACGACAGGAAGCGAGAGGCTTGACACTCCACACACCACACACCACACACCACACTACAGCTGCTAATAATATACACAGAGAGCTTGTCTGTGTGTGTGTGTGTGTGAGTGTGTGCTTCTGTGGCACGTAAACTGACAATGACGTAAGGCGTTAGGCGTAAGGCATCTACGTAAAGAGAGGCCGCGATAAAATTGCGGAAGCTCTGCGAATGCCGATGGCATCGCCCCGCAGCAACTGATGAAAATGTCGTTTGTGTGTGCATGAAAAATGAGTGTGAACTGGGCATACTCGACTGGTGTATAGGTATGTGACAGCGTAGAGAGAGCTGAATTAATTGATCTACAATAGTGAATGTGTGGGGGTATAATAATGAAAAAGACTGAAGCGCTGATCCTCAAAAAGAAGTATATACATACATATATGGTATAGTATAGTATATATGTATATGATATATAGATAATATTATTATTATTAATACTTAATGATTTTATTCTGCATATATGTAAGAATTGCTGATATTACAAAAGCCACCTTAGAATTATCATCATCTACAGATAAATTTGATTTTATAATCGTATGTGAAAGGATAACATTAAATTCCTCAATGGAATTTAAAAGACTAAATAAAGTTTGATAGAAGCTATTTGAACATAGATATATTATTCTATGAAGTATTAATGTTAGTATTGCAATGTAATATTTTGCAGGATATCTCCTGGTCGTTCATAGCTGCTTGCCTCACTGATATGTGTTGGCTTTGTTACGTGCCACGGGCCAATCGCATCGTCAACCTTTTCACCTCTTTTGTATGCTCGACACACGCGTTGTCCTGCGCTAAGGAGAATATATGAAGAAGAAGAAGAAGAACCAGATGAAGATGGGCAAGAGGAAGAGGAAGAGCGGAACGTTTGTTTGCAGGTAGGTAAAATGTTACTCACCTGTCAGTTGGGCAAACAAGGTAAACGCCTCAGCTATCAGGCTAACCATATGGGGCTCAGACTTCGTGACACTCTCATAAGCGATTCAGATTCTGTGCCAGTTACCCGCTGCTCACCTGCCTCACCTGCCTCACCTGGCCTACCTGCTACTGACTGCCGCCCGTTGCGCTGCTCTGCCGTGCTCTGCTATCTGCTGGCTTAACCTTGTCGCTGACAACAGCATCCGTTATGCCGCATAGCAACTGGCTTTCAGTTTCCGTTAAAGCTTTTCATACGGAAATCGGTTTGTCTTACGGCTGCCTGCACATGCGGCTAGCCAAATGCCGCTGCATTTGTAGAATATTATATTCTCAAGCCGAGCACGACGACAGCGCACACAGAAGTAGCTTAAGAAGTGTGTGAGCGATGTTCCCAAACTGTGAATCTGACTCAATTCTCCAAAATCAGTTTGTCTGCGCTTAACTGAAGCAAAGCACTTCAAGAGCCAGAAACGAATGCTATTGCTAGTTATGTTTGAGTTCTTATCTGATTGATTTCGTTATTAAATAAAATGGAAAGTTAAAAAAAAATAAAGAAAAATATATTTAGTTTTCAGATAGCTTTAACTCTAATTATTCTCAACTTTTTCAGTAATTTTAATTGTTTGAAACTTTTAATTGAAACTATAAAAACTTATTTTGCAAACTTTAGAATCAATAAAAATAATACACAAACGTTGGCTAGAAGTTCAGCTTGAAGATGCTTAAAGTTTTAGTTAACTTTTAATTGAAAATTAGTTTGCATTTGCCAAGTTTTCCTTATCATATGTCAGGCGATGCTCCTTACTTATGCTAAACTTTGATCAAACGAAATTCCGTAGCTTTCGTTTCCTGGAATGGCCCTTTTCAAATGCTTTATCTCTGCGCTGTGGCTGCAGCAAACGAGCATGACACTTTATTCCATCTTCTTCTGCGTCGGTTTTTATGCTATGCTTTATGCTCATGTTTACACAGCCTGCTCGCCACGCCCTCAGCAGTCACGCCTACTGCTACACACCTTTACACAATTTAAAGTGTTTTGCCCTGCCTTACCCTGATGTTGCCTTTTATGATGTTTAACGCTATCTTAAAAATAAAACAAGAATGAAGAAATAAAAACAACATGACGAAATTAGCGCAACAAACTCGCGTCCTACGTGTCGTATGCGCAATGTGCCGAAAGTCGAGTCGAGATGAGATGCGAGTCGAGGCAAGGCGAGGTGATGCGATGCGATGAGAATATAAAGTCGTTTAACCTACATGCTTCACATTAGAGTATGCGCTGAGCACTTGCCGCCTGACAGATTTGATGACACGCCCCCCCCCCTCCTCCCCCTCCATACGGTTGCCATGTTGCGCCCTTGCCAGCCCTCTCAGCAATTACATTAAGTATACGCAACGCTGTGCAGAGTTGTTAAACTTTTTACTACGTGTAGAATAAACAACATTTTTAATCATTTAGTTTAATAATTGTTTCATTTCATTTTTTTTTTATTCTTTTTGCAATTTTTATTTGACGTAAATGAAAAACGTATTTCAATCTATTACGCATACGCAATGCATGCGGGTAAACAATTCACATAATATAGTTGGTTTTTGGTTTATACTCCATGTTTTTCGTGTGTTTTCTCTGTTTCAACAAAAACTACTAAATAAAACAAAAACTCATACAAAAATTAACAATTTATTTCTATGCATGTAGAAAATAATAAAAATCAAATAAAACACGATGCAAATATTTTTGATGGAATGTCAAATCGCTGCGGAAACAAATTAAATGCTGCTTTGTTTCTGTTCGAATGAGTTCTCTTCTCGTTTTTTACGGATTTTTTGATGCGAATTTTAGTTTGGCCTTTGAAACTTTAAATAATGATATTATATACACTTAAATTTGTTTATTTTTTATAATATATTTTTTAAGGATTTACTTAAATTTATAACTAAAACTAATGATAACATTCCTCTTTCTCTCACTTTCTCTCTGTCTCTCTCTGACTGCCTTGACCTACATTTCATAGAAGACTCTGAGCTTTTGTTTAGTTAATTTTAATGGAATTTTTAGGTATTCGGTTGGAATTCGATTTCAGGATTCTAGCTAGTGATGTCCAATGGTTAATTGACTTGGGAAATTCAAAAGGAAACTGGAATTCAGTGTTGTGTAATGTATACTTAGTTAGGGTTTAGTCTGTTTTGCCATTTTTTTTAAGCAGCTTGCCGAAAGGTATATACATATATATTTATATACATATATGTATTTATTTTTAAATTTTTTATATATTTTTTAAATATTTCTTTTCATTTTGTTTTTAATATACAAAAAATTAATCAGTCTAAGTACGTGTTTTAATCCTTATGCTTCTTCTTCATCTTTGAATCGCCTGCATCGTGTTGGAAAATGAATACATACATATACAAATACATACACATACATATGAGAATGTATTTCAACAATTTTTTGTTAGCCCCAACGGATAGACTTATGCACATCCAACTTTTAACTTAAATATCGTATAGTTGAAACTTATTCTTGTCAAACCATTTCTTGTACTTGTCGTATCTATGTGTGTATAGTGTGTGTGTGTGTGTGTCTGTGTGTGTGTGCATGTGTGTGGTTAACCGTAGCTCAAACATAGGAACCACATACAACAACATCGTCATCCGCTTCATCAATCTGCGCCTCTTTAAATCCATTTAGCTTATATATCACGTCCACTCACTCCCACTTTCTCCTTGCCAGCAGAACGTCGTTTTTCAGGGAGTTGCAGTAACTTGGTTTTGTTTTGCTTTACTTAGTTGGTCGTCTCCGTTGGCTCGCCCCGTGCTGCCAGCTCTCACGCGTATTTGGCGAAGACCCAACGTTGCGTGGCCAAGGCCGAATTGCAGCGCTGCCCACTGATGCCCTGCTCATGGTGATCCCGCGTATCCAGGCACACATTGATCTTGCTGTGCTTGATCAGGCCGCCGTCCTTCATGATCCAGCGTTGGTTTTCCGACTCGTCGCACGGCTTGAGAATCACCTGAGAGCCGCGCGAGAACTGCACGAGCGTCAAGCAGAGCTCATCGTGCTTGATCTCTCCGCGCTTCGAGAAAGTCCACTCCTGATTGCCGCCCGTATTGTGGCAGGGGAAGAGACCTGGCATGCCAAGAAGAGAAAGAGCAAGCAGAATGTGTGACAGTGTTGTAAGATGAATATTGATAAGTCTATGGTGTTTATAAGAGTGGAAGATACAATGTAATAATATCAGATCTGAGGATCTGGATTCTTGAGTGTTGGATAACTCTGACATAAAAGTTGATAATAATGTGATAATCAATAATATAGTGGTGTGAAATGCTCCTCAAGTCAGGATCTATTCTTTCCGTTTCTTTACTTACCCACAGTGCCGTCTACTATATGACCCATTGTATCTAAGCATTCGGTCGCATCCTGTCTAAATTGTCCCACATCCTGTGGGTCGGGTGTCTGCAGATCGGGATAAACATGCTCCAGATACCATTTGAAAGGTTTGCACTGCAGTTTCTCCTTGAGAGCCAGACGATCATCGATGCTGCAAGAGAACAACAAAGTAGAAAGAGAGCTTAAGCTTATTCTCACCCTCACCCTCTCCCTCTCTCTACTTACTTGCCGAAGGGAATATTCTTGGCCAGTGGTACGGCATTGTAGTAATGCTGCTTGTATTCATCCATCCAGACCTCGGCGGCGCGCCGTGTGTTCTTGGCAAAGACGTTGCCGCTGCCGCCGGGGAAGGTGTAGGGATGGCGCTTGCGGAACACGTGACCCACTCGGCTGCAGGGTATGATCTCTAGGCTGCCGCCACACTGCCAGACTCGGAACGAGATCTCCAAGTTCTCGCCGCCCCAGACATCCATTTTCATGTCGTATTTGCCCAGTTTGTTGAAGTAGGCCTTGTCGATCACGAACAGGCCGCCCGCTATCATGGGCGTGCGTATGGCCGTGGTCGGATCGTTGTGCCTGGCCGCTCGCTCGGCGGGGCTGAGGTATTCCCATTTGAAGATCAGATTCCAATCGAAGCCGCCACGTAGATCCGCCGAGGCGCCAATATACTGGAAGTTGTCCATGCTAATTACGTCGATGACGGGGCAGACGACGCGCGTCGGATCCTCGCGCACGCGCTCCAGCAGCGGCTCCAGCCACTGTTCATTGCACTCGACGTGGCTGTCGAGGAAGGTCAAGACGCTGCTAACAGCGGCATCGGCGCCCCGAACTCGAGATCTAACCAGACCCTCACGTTTATCATTGCGTATGATGCGCACTTTATCGATCTTGGCCAGCTCCATGCCGTCCTCGGCTGGAAGGGGGTAGATAGATAGATGGAATTTAGGTTAATGCATAATCAATCTTTTAAGTTCCGTTGAGATTAGCATTCATCATAACTGCTTATGTGGAATATTATTGCTGCTATGCTGTATTTTATTTATGAATGTTATGTATGTCTTATTGTACATCGATTTCTAATCTTTATACGAATACTTACGATGATCACTGTAATCATCCACCAGCACTATTTCGCGAATTAAATGCTCTGGACTGCGATTCAGAACGCTCACAATTGTGCGCAACAGCGTAGATCGAGCCTCATTGTGGAAGGTGATAATCACGCTCGTCTCGGGCAGATCTTCGCGATATTTTTTCGTGCGACACCTAGAAATGTAAATGATATTGATTATGAGATATATAAGTGTGGTGTTTGATATATGATATTGTAGACTGTGTGTGTGAGAGAGAGAGAGAGAGAGAGACTAGACTAGATATATTCAAGTAAATTAACTATGTCTGGCTGCCGAAGTTTTTAATGCAAATTTTTGTCTTTCTAGACTTTATTCTTTAGTTGCTTGACTCTAGTTTCCAGTCTACAGTTACTAGTTTCAACTTTCCAGTCTTTAGTTACTCTAGTCTGCCTAGTATGTCTACTCTCTAGTCCCTTTAGTTCCTCTAGTCTCTCCGCTCTGCTAAGTTCCTTCAGGTTCTAATGTCTCAAGTTTGTACAGTTTCTCTGTTCTCTCTAGGTTATTCAATCACCGTCTGGTCACTTTTACCTCTATATTTGCTGCTCTAGTCATTTCCGTGTCTCTAGTATCTGTGGGCTCTTTCTCTTTGTAGTCTCTCACGTCGCTCTACTCTCCAGTGCCCTAGTTTTTCCACTCTATCCAGCTTTTATAGTTTCGCGAGTCTATAATCTCTAGCATTCAGTCACTACTCCCTAGACTCTACTCCCCAGTTCCTCAGGTTTCTGTAGTCCCACTAGCCTCTCTAGTTTCCCCAATTCTTTCCATTCCCATCACTCACATGGGATTCCTGGTGTCTGGTATCTCTCGATTGCTGGGCAGCGCATCACTGGCCTCCTGATTGAAGCGATTCCTTATATAGGGATCCTCGCCGCTTCTCAGTCCTCCGCCTCGTATGTAGCCGGCCTCATCAAAGTATTCGACCTCGCCGCCAGTTCGCGCACTAGCGCCGACGGACAGACGTCCCGCCACAGGGCCGACAGCATTGGCGCCCTGAGATGTCTCCTCCAGAGCCACGATGCCGTTCAACTTGAGTCCATGCACCGCATTGCGTTCAAAGTCCTTGACGGAGCCGATTAAAATGACGTTGCCACCAGGATCGTCATCGCCCGCAGCAGCTCCAGCGGCACGCAGGCCGGAGTTGGCGGCGGCGGGCGCCCATTGTCGAGCTGTCGATGCACCGGCCGTCATGTCGTCCTGGTACTGTTGCATGGCTGTTGCCACCTCACGTAAGCGTAAAGCACGATTCTCAATCTAGACACAAGAGAGGAAGAGAGGGAGAGGGAGAGAGAGAGAGCGTGAGTGAGTGAGCCATTTAATTTATTTGCTTAATCTGCGGTACTTGGGTGACGCCAGCGCTGAACGTGGCCATAATTCAACACGAATGGATGTGGGCGTGGAGCGTGGGTGCTGGGGGTAGAGAGTGAGGGTGTGGGGCTGTTGGTGTGTTCCGCTTTTTTCGCTGCTTCCTCTTCTTCTTTTGCAGGATTAGAGCGTTTTACAACTTGCAGCAGTAAAAAAAAAAAAATACAGAGAAAATGTTGCAGCTCAGTTTACACTTTTACAGCCAGCGGCTGACTTATGGCTCAAAGCGAACAACAACAACAACAACAATAACAACAGCAATTGTTGCCCCTTTCGTGTTTTGTTTCAAAAGATTCATAATCTATGAAAACAGGGCAAAAAGGTAGCAGAGTCTGACCCAGTTGCAACCGGAAAAAATATGGTTATATATGTATATAGAAACTATATATCGTATACACATACTACATGCGTACATGCTAGGTTTGTGTGCCTTTGAGATAAGTTTGGGCTGGGCGATAAATTGTTGCAACTCGTTAAAAGTGTGCTCTAATGTCTTGGCTTAATGTGAATAGTTAGCACAACAACAAATGGAGAAAGCTCGGAGTTGTCGATAGCTATCGATTGTAAGCTGAGACCATTTATAAATGTGATATACTATCATTTAATATCTTGACTTATGTGTTATGTTAAGACGGAGCTAGAGCAAAAGTTCATATGAAGCAAATACATCATACAGATAATAAAATATCTGTATTCAATATCGATTAGTATTGCTGATGCCATCTACCTTGCAAGAGGGATAAATAGTATTAAGAATTTTAATTACTATATGAAGTCTATACATTATATAATATATGTTATTCTTAATTTTCACTATCTGTTAATTTTTTACTAGGGTCATATTTATCGATAACTATCGGCAGTTATTTGTTCTTATTTATATTATATATTTAGACTACCTATGGGATTATAACAAAACATCAATGTTCACTAGGCGCTACTTTCTACAGCCAGAGCAAAAGCTTTACTGTATATTATATTTCTAATTTTTCGACGTCAAACCTCTTTAAAAATCTGCTTTGCTAGCTTCGCCTCTTGAATTTATGAATGACAAAATCAATTCGATAATTTGCAATTTATAATCAATCAATTGCTCAAGTTCCAAATACATATTTCAGAAGCGTACTCAAGTATTTTCCATTTAAATAATAAAAATACATTAGAGTTTGAAAAGATTTTGTGGAAAGAGGAAGCTGAGGGCCGTTTGTTAAGCTAAAGCACACATGTTTCAGGCTTTACGAAACTTGAGCCAAAATCTCAATCAAACAAGAAAGCGAGCATAAAAAGGTTAAAAATGGTAGCAGCTGCTGAGCACTTGGAAACAGTTTGAAAAGTTCGAGCTGTTGTTCCTGAAGCTTGATGAGGAGCACAAGGCTGAGCAGAAACTTGGGCACTTGGCTAATGTTCCATAGCTCTTTTTGTTGTGCAGTTGAGGCCATTAAAAGGTCCAAAGTATTGACCGACTGCTCTTTCACTCGAAAGGGAAGTCACTACAGTGGGATAGAGGGAGAGATAGAGAGAGACAGAAGGAGAGAGAGCGAGAGAGAGAGAGAGAGAATCAAGAGCTCTGTCCATGACTTGATTATTAATTGCTTTTCACATTTAAATCAATTTGTCATGCTTTTTTCTCCACACGCATTCAGAGAGAGAGAGAGAGAGATAGAGAGAGAGAGAGAGAGAGCATGCTATTCACTCCATTTGTGATACGCTGCGTATGCGTGTTATTTCAATTTTTAAGCGTCGTGCGCGGCACGTTTTGCATTCAACTTCCGTTTCGTTTGACTAGGTTTTTCGGTTTAGCATTTGCTTACGATTTACATGAGACGTGCGCCTTTTAGCGCCATTTACGAACGCATTTTTTATGCGACTCTCAGTCGAGGCCCCTTTCAGCACATTGAAAAAGAAAAGCAAAAAAATATACAAAATGGTTGTTTAGTGCTGAAATGTGTGACTAAGAGTGAGAGTGACTGCATTGTTATTTACATTTGAGCTAAGGGAGTAAGTATCTAGAGAATAGAGAATAGAGACTGTGTTGGGAGTAACTTGATTATGGCTCTGGTTGATTGCCTCAATTCAAAGATAACAATTGAAGCTAGCTAATGCAGTCAGTCAGATTTATATTTTGCCAGGCAAATGCAAATGAAAATACTATATTTATATGTGTGTAAGGCAAACCAGTTGTACTTGATCACAAAAGTGAAAGAGTATATTTGTCTGTGTGGAGTCCTCTTGAACAATAGTACAAGCAGTTGTACAAGAGAGTTAGAGTTTATTTGAAATTTCATTGGACTGAATATTTCAAATGAATTAATGAGTTTCTTTGATATTATTTACTTTTTGACAACAAATATTATTTACAAACTTATCTACAATTTCATTTTATATAATTGAAATCTAATCAAATGACTTGAAAATAAATATTTAAATACAAATATTTTTTATTCTTATAAAATCACTCTGCATCTCTCTTTTCCACAGTTCGCATTTGTATATCTCTATATATATTACTCCCAGTACTTTTTTGTTTGCCTACTGTCTGTCATATTCAATTCATTTCTATTCACTCTGTTGCTCACATTCTTGTTTTCACATTTCTGTTGTTTATTACTTTCCCATTCACTTTGATTCGCATGCTAATAGCTCTATTATTCTTAGATAGCCACATTTATGCTCGACTATAAATATTTTTTCCCCTCTAAGAGCACAAGTCCTGAGCATTTGTCTCTCTATTCTACACATACATATGTATGAATATGTGATGTGATAATACTCTGCACTATATATAAATGAACACATATATATATATAGTGTATATGAGTATTATCCCATCACATGGACCAAGCATTGTTGTTGCCTTTGTTGTCAGCTGAGCTTTGGGGTATATCATGCTGCATTCAGCTGCGACGCTTTCGGCTGTTATCATTAATTACGAGCTCGAGTCTGAGCTGGTTTTTGCTTTTGTGCATACCCTAAATGATGGACAGGCAAAAGAGCGAAGCAAAGAAATAAGATGAAACAGCAGAAGGACGCTCTGCGATATGTGACAATAGAGTTTGTGAGCAAGAAGGACACCCAGAATAAGCAACAGTTGACGTTGACGAGGATTAAATTCTCTCGACAGTAAGCGATAAGTCTCTGTGAGGCTATCGAATTTGATTTGTAGAGCGATATAAATCGGGCTGATATTGATTGAGACTATTGGAGTAAATATTTTATACTGTATGTATGTGCATGTATATGATTTGATGCTCATGGAATGAGTTAATTAGCTAAGGAAATTAATTATTATTAGAACATCGAATAAGGTACTCATATAGAGGATATTAATATGAATACTTGGGAATATTTTTACATTACGTTCATTGCGAATATCGAATGTAAAATATCGAATAGAGAAGGCACAAATCGAAATGTGAATATCGAATAGCTCATATAAAAAAAAACCGATATGTTTTCTGAGGCATTCGTTAAATGAATATCGAATGCTCAAAGGCTATGTGGAGCATGTTTTCAGAGGATGAGTGGGTGATTTTGAGTAATAGCTAATACATTGCAATATATATGACTTGTCTAAGCTTTATTTTATTGTTATCGATTATTTATCAAATATGTGTATGTGTATTTGTGACGTCATGTTTAATTGTATTTTCCACGACTATTCGACTGACTTTTCACATAACAAATGTATCGCATATGAATACACATATATCCATATATCGATAATCTCAAGTATATCGAATATGCATAAATGAAAGGACATGCCAAAATCCAATTATCCACAGTCAAATACCAATTCAAGGTGCACATTGCGTATACGCAATGGTCCAGTGTTGCGACTCGGTCCATTGCCTGTCGCAGATCGTCGTCTATGCAATAGCTATTGTTCGGTCTAATCCACCCACCCAACCTGTCCCACTGCCAACCGCCCACCCACCTGCCTGGCCATGCAGATGCTGTGGGCAACAGTTTCAATTTTGCCATTCGATTTGTCGCTTTCGCCTCGCTCCTCGGCCATGTGTAACTTAATTAGTTGCATTGTTTGTTGTGCGGGCGAGTTTGGGGACCGATTCAGTCATTGATTGGCTTTCTATGCACAGCTCTGTATGTGTGTGTGTGTGTGTGCGTGTGTGTTCGGCCGGGCTTTGTATGCTGAGCCGGGTAAGCGGCTTATTTGCAGATCATTATGCGCATTTTGTAGCTGTAATTGACAGCAGCAACAATCGAGGACCCCCAAATAGCCAAACCCCAAAGCCGAGAGCCGAGAGCCCAGCGGCCAAAGTCCAGAACCAACGCCAAATAGCGAATGCCTCGCAGTTGCCCGCATGGGAGTTAATGGTATCGATATTGGTTATTAACTTGTTACTGCTTCTAATTAGACATAAATCAAATGTGTGCTAGTGTGGGTGCGTGTGTGTGCGTGTGCCTAATATAATAAATGGCCAGCGCAGTCCTTAGTCAATTCGCACGAGATGGGCCAAAGTATTTGTTCGTGATTGCAATTTAGATATTGTTGCGCTTATGTGGGAATTATGTTAAAAATTATTAAAGCTGAAATGATTTATATCATACATGTGTGCAGAGAGAATACTTGGGGTAATACCCCATATATAGGGATTTTATCAAGTTCCCTTTGCCACGCTGCTCATAATTTATTTGTAAGCTCTTTAGCTTAACACGATTTGAAGATGTGCAAACAGATATTACTATAGAAGTATTTTAATAACTGTGTATATTATATATGTATATAAATAGAGTATACCATTTGAATCTCAAACTAAGTTCACAAAGAACTTGGCTCTTTCACTCAATTTGATTCTGGTCTTCCTGCTCACACATTCCGCCAATTACAGGGTATGCAAATTAAATTTATGCCCGTGTTTGCATCGCAACTAGCTGCTAGATTGTTGCCCAGGTTCATGTTGCATTCCATAAATAGCCCAGAGCCCAGTCGCTCCTGGTGTGTGTAACACGTCTCATGCATATATCATAAATATGTATATGTGAGAGACAACTAAGACTGTTGTAGTTGTGCAGTGACTGACTAAGAGATACCTCGGGAAATTATGCAAAGCAAGAATGGGGACAAAGAGAAGCAGAAATCATTTTCAACTTGTCTCTAAATTTTAAATATACAAACTCTAATAATACATAGCTCATCATCTATTATATATCTCAGCTAAAGTACCTTTGCTTCCCCTCAGCTCTTACACAATTTCAACAATAAGCCCCAACATGCCCCCCCACATACAATAGCATACATAGGGTATTGCAGCTATTCAGCCGCTGCTGGGCCCTGGAGCGTTTGTGTTGCCAAGTCGGTTAGTGGAACGTGATCTTTAGGGCTTAGCCACAAACATTGGCTGGCTTGGCGCGCAAGACAAACAGCTCGAGGCTTGCAGCGCGGGCTGTATTATTGCAGCAGCAGCTTTTGTTTTTCATTTTTTGTGTGAGGCCATCAATCAATCAATCGAGCTCTCAGCCAAAAACACTTACACATCTCGACTGACCTAAACAGCGCAATTTTCCATGCGGCTCATCCAAACTGTGTCATTAGTCAATTGACAACAACAGCAACAATAACAACGACAGGCCTCATCGATATGGTCGATGCCAGCAACAAGTTGCCGCAAATGGATTTTTTTTTCTTTTCGGGTATTATGTGTGTGTGTGTTTTTTCCACTTTTTGTTTTTGTATGTCTCGCATAAAGTTCAATGCTTGAGTTCAATGTCTGGTCATGTATGGTATATACACATATATGTATGTATTAGGTTTTTTTTTTCATCATTTTCTTTTTCACTTTTTTCGTTATAGAAACTTGAAACAAATCATTGAAATTAGTTTAGACTTGAATGGGCTTTCAGGTTTATAATGACAGCAGCGCAACCAAAAAGTAAGAGTGCTTGAGCTTGAGCACTACTCGGCGCTGAGATACCCTGCAGTCAGTTATAAAACACTTCAGAGCTATAAATATACATGAGACACATAACATATACATGATCTTGAAAGCAAAAGTATTTTTCAATGTTCAAGCATGACGATTATGTAAAATACTTGAAGAAAATGAATGAAATAACCATTTATAGTAGAGATCAGAGACGATTGTAGGGCTATAAATACTTTGAGCTTAGCATATGATCTATAAGAACAGGGAAGACGATCATAAAAGTTATTATAAGAGTTCAAGTATTGAAGTGAAATGAAAGAAGAAGAGTATAAGACATAACTTTAGGAGTAAAGTAGAGTAAACTGTTAGAAGTATTTGACCCATTTATTTTGAAAACATTTCTGCTTCTTACAACTAAAAGAAGAGATCAAACTAAGTGGAGAGGTCAAAGTAGAGACAGGGAAATAATAGAGCAAATATGCACAAACAAAGAAGCTTAGACCAGAGTCTGATTGCTGCAATGCATTTGCTACTCACTCCGACTAGCGAGAGCAGCTGGGTCAGTGCCACGACCTGACTTACTACCACTATTATTATTATCATCATCATAATCATTATTACTATTCGTTTTGCTGCTTTCATTGCGCACATTAAAATTAAAGTTTTTCCTTTTCACAAATAGCTCGAATGCAACTTGAATTCTTTTCCATTTCGATTTTTGGTCGCTTCGAAGTGAATTGAAAATTTCTATTTAAATTTTTAGTGAGCAAGTCATGTCTCATTTCCAATTCAACTGTTATTCTTGGCCATATTATTCTTGGAGTGAATGTAGCCCAATGCGTGCGCATGAATGTGTGTGTGTGTGTGTGTGTGTGTGTGTTGGCAACTGTCTGCAGAGGAGAATATTTTCGTGTTTTTGTCGAATCAATATGTTTTTGGGCGTGCATAGATTTTTAATTGAATTCTGTTGTTTCTTATTGTTGTTTGTTTGCTTAACGAGCTGTGGCTGTTGTTGTTGTTGTTGCCGTTGTTTTTGGTCGGCTATGACGCATGGCCGACAATGCCACAGTTGGGTGTGTCCGAAGCCCACAATTCAATTCTGCATGCTAAAGTGAATGGCTTCAGCTCATTTGCAATGCATTTTGCAGTTTAATCAGAGCTAAATTCTTTTCAGCTCCGAACTAAATCGAAAGTATGAAAAGAAAGCAGCGCATTTAGTAGCACAGAGCTTTCATTTGAGAGAGCTCTCGATAAAGTATTTAACAATATGGATCACCAAAATAGTTCTTCTCTCTGACGTGAACAAAGACATCTCGCTCGAAATAAATTTGATACGTTCCAATTACTAAATTATGCACTCTGCTTCACACGTAACTACACGATGTGAAAATCATTCAGCTGGAAGACTGAGCAGCTGAGAGTTCAGGAAAAAAAAAAGAAGAAAAAACAAGCAGAATAGACACACGAACGAAAACCGACAAAATAAAACACCAAACGAGCCAAAGCTGGGGTTAAGCCTCAGTGATTGAGCAGCAAAAAAGTGATACAGAAGAAAAACAAATAAAGCACAAGAAAAAACGCAGCAAATTAAAAACGCAGCGAGAAAACATGAAAAGAAAATGCTGGCGAAAATTTTCACTAATTAATAAAAAAAGAAATTGAACCAAACAAATGATGGAAAAGCTTAACAGAAAAAAAAAAAGAAAAATATGAAACTGCTAATGTGGGTCAACAAAGTTGATAAGATAAATACGGAAGCAATTACCGCATTGGTAACCTAATGTCCCGTAATAATTAGTCGGACAGCGCAAATGGGCGAAAACAAGTTTTAGGCAAAAGACTTCAGTTAAGTATTTGTTAGACTTATTGTAATATTCACAATGATAAGAATAATAAAGGCGAACCTAATGCTAATGCTAATGCTAATATGAATGCTAATGCAAATGCTTATGCTTATGCTTTTGGTTATGCTAAAGCTAATGCTAATGCTAATGCTAAAGCTAATGCTGATGCTAATGCTAATGCTAATGGTAATGGTAATGCTAATGCTAAAGCTAATGCTGATGCTAATGGTAATGCTAATGCTAATGCTAATGCTAATGGTAATGCTAATGCTAATGCTAATGCTAATGCTAATGCTAATGCTATTGCTAATGCTAATGCTTATGCTTATGCTTTTGGTTATGCTAAAGCTAATGCTATTGCAAATGCTAAAGCTAATGCGAAATCTAATGGTAATGGTAATGCTAAGGCTAAGGCTAAGGCTAAGGCTAACTAGGCTAATGCTAATGCCAATGTTAATGCCAATGCTTATGCTATTTCTAATACTGATATTTATACTAATGTAGCTTATGCCAATAACATTACCAATGACAATAACAATAACGATGACAATGACAATACCACGATTTTCATTTAATTAGCTGATAAACTAGTTAATTAAGAGTCAACATTAATGCCCCTATCGATCGTAGCTGCATTTATTTAGTGATTCTTATTTGTGTCGCTCTAACTAATATGCTAATGGTACAAAAACAACTGTTAAAAGTTCTCGAGACTTCCACACGGAGAGACAGAGAGAGAGAGAGAGAGGGAGAGATTCTTGAGCTAGACGGTTTCATCTTGCCGTGACTTCTCGCTGGGCTTCTCGGGAGTGATGTCGGCGAGCATCTTCTGTGTCTCCTGCGCCAGATTGACCAATGTGCCCAGATCGTTCTCCAAAGTGTCGATGCGTTTCTTCTGCAGCTCAATGATGTTGATGAAGCGATCGATTTCCTCGCCGCGCGACAAGGCCAATGCACGCCAGTAGGCCACATCGTCGGTGACATCGACATACTCGGCCATCGACTTGGCGTGGACCAAGCGCTTCTGCAGCATCACCACCATGTGGGCCAAGGTGCGAAACGAGAAGCGTGCGCCTTTGCGCTTGCTCTTCTTATTCATGTTGTCGCCGATCGGCTCTAGACTCTTCGAACCGATCAGATTTTCGCGATGCTCGGACGATTCGCTGTTCATGCTCGAAGATCGAAGTGACGCGAATGTAAAATTTAGTTTCCGCTTTCGGCCGATATCTATACAGATTTGTTTCTATTATAAAATTTGTCTTATATCAATTTGATATATATGTATACATAGCTTGCTGAGCTAAGAAATCAAATAAAATAATACCAAAGTTTCTCTGTCGACTGGCCGATGTCAATTTCTTGATCAAGTTGTAAAACTCAAACTTTTTGTTTCATTTGTCTTTTCTTTTTGAATTTGAACATTTCCGCAGCAGTTTTCACTCTTTGGCTACGATTTCCGAGCAGCTTTTATGGCACATTAACAATGCGCAATCTTGGACATGGCTAATTTCCTCTTCAACATTCTCCCGCTGTCTAGCGCTCAATTTAATGAGCTGTCAGCTTCAAGTTTGGATAATTTTACCATTTTCACTGAGATCACAGTTTACACTATGCCATTTGCATGCTGATGATGGCAGTTAAATGATACGAAATACTATTTTGTGTTGGCCTGATGATGATAGACTTGAAGATACTCTGCACAAAGATTTAATGTATTTTACTAATATTTATTCGTACATCTAAGATCTATATAAGAGAACAAGCAAAATCTAATTAGGAGTAAACAATATTTGAATAAGAAATTTAATCTTATTTTTTCCTAAATATTTAAATTCATGCGTGAATAGATCTATAGAAGGAAATCCCTTCTGAGTAAATGGATATGAATGAAATGGCTTTAATTAATTTCTTGGCATGTAAAATTTGTCAACTTTCTCGGTTTCAAGCCAAGTTTTAGGACAGATTACCGACCTCTAAGTGCTCCTCGTCTGGCCGTCTTTTGTGAAGGCCGTCGAGGGTATTTCAAAATGTGTCGAGTGACTGGGGAGGCGCTTATCCGATTGGGCTGTCAATCAATTGTTTGACTATTTGTTGAGCTTTTGGCCAATTTGCATAAGCCACAAATAGGCGCAGAGCGAGAAAACCGTGTGGAAAATTTGTTTGGCCAAAAGTGCAAACTGTAAACATGACGGCTAATTTATTGTCTCTGACTAAACAATGCAACTGTTTAATGCGTTTAATGCCACACACACACACAGACATAGAGTGGATCAAATAAATAATCGAATAATGTGAATAGTTTTATGCATGTATATAATTTAATCTATGACAAGGCCAGCGCTACGTGTGTGTGTGTGTGTGTGTGAATCGCAGCAGCTGCAGTTAATTGGCCCGTGAGGTTAATTGAAAAATCTCACAGGCAGACACGGAAAAGCGTCTGCATAAGCTAACTAAGACACCAACCAGACCACATCTTCTTCACTCAGCTGCTTTGGCAATGCATCGTTGCGCAACTTGAAATGCATTTGAAGACGAGACTGGGGCTGAGGCTGAGGCTGAGGCTCTGTGGCTGAGACGAGACGCAGATGCCAAAATAAATTGTAGTCACAGCAACAATTGCAAATTGCTATCTCTCTCTCACTCTCTCTCTCTCTGTCTGTTTTGATGTGTGGCATCTTTGTGGCAGACAAAAGTGTCGAATGCTGCATAGCTTCCTTGTATTTTTGGCCAAGTAGCTGCAGCTGACGGGTTTAGCCTTCGATTTTTGGCAGCTCACTTGCGGCTGCCACTCTCGACCTGGCCCAAACCGAAAACACAATTAGCCAGCTAAGCTCCTGTGTTGGCCAACGGCTTAAAGCAGCCAAAAACAAAACTTAACCACCTCGAGGTGTTTGCCTACGGCTAAGTCGAAAAGTTTGAGCTGAACGTAAACTTAATTTTAATTTTGAACAAATTATTATTATGTCTTGCACTTGTTGAAGTAGCTCAGTTTTTGCTCAGTTTCGTTAATGTGAGTATTTAATACCGCAGGTGAGTCAGCTTAAAGTACAAGTTATTCATAATAGAGTCAAAGCGGGTAAAGGCAAAGTCTACAGGGTATGAGTAGTCTCATTCACATAAAACTCACAAGTTCATTATTCTCTTGGATGTTTAGATCTCAATTGCAGCGTGAGTAAACAAATAAACGGCTCGCGACTATTTAAGTGTGAAAACATTGTATGCGTAATGGAGAAATATTTTTGTAAAATATTATTAATGAAATTCGCAGCACACACTGAAATATGGAAATATTTAAGTATTGAAGAATTGAAATGAAGCAAAGGCAAAAATGAAATAAAATTAAAGCAAGGCAAAACATTTGCTCACAGAACTTTTGCTTAACAGAAATAAACAAAATTTTCTGTTTGGAAATTAAATTTTTATCACTTAGGCGTGTTCATAGATCAAACAACAACAATTCATTGCATTTCGTGAGAATTAACTCAGAGCAACTGGGTCATACACAAATTTAAATATTTCTCAGTTTCGAAAATTAATCATAGTATAAAAAATAAAATAATTCTATTTTTATGTGTATACAATATTTATATCTATACAATTTATATTTAAGCTAAAATCTCTTGCGAGTCTTTTAAATATTTTGTAGAGACTTAGAAATTCCTGCTCAGGTCAAGAGCTAAGTAACTCGCATAATAATAATTGCTGCAACTCTCAAGAACTTTTGCGCTCTGCCACAGAGAACTCAGCTCAAATGCCGAGTTTGAGTTATTTAATATGCTAATTGAAGGTTTTGGTGCACAAAGCTCTTAACTCTTGGCTCTTAGCTGTTGGCTCTTGGCTCTTGGCTGCTGGCTGGCCAGCAAAGACTTGGCTAATATTTCACAGGGCAGCAATAAATTGCATGTTGCATAAAGAGAAGCAGCAGCAGCAGCCGTAGCAGCAGCAGATGTTGCATGTGTGGCACAATGGGAGCTACGAGTGCGAATGCTGTTAGGTTTGAGTCGTGCTGATGCGGCTGCGACTGCCAGTGCCAGTGGCAACAAGATGTTCATAAAATATATTGAAAGTGCTTTGCATAAATTGCGAAAACAAGAGACAATGGATTATTGCCTTTTGAACTTTATGGAGCAGAATTCTCTTTGAGCTCAATCAATTAAGGCCAGGCGACATTTGCTGGCGTCTTTAATAGCTCAAGCGCTCATTAGTTCAAATTCAGTCGAAAAGGGGTCAGGCAATAGTCGAGTCGACTCGCATCGACTCGCATCGACTCGCATCGAGTGGCTTGCCTCATGCATAAAAGAATATGCGAATGATGGAGCACAGATGCTGCAGCATCAATATGAACCAAACCAAGCCAAACTGAACTGAACTGATGAGCACAGATGAGAGCTGACTGTGCGCCGTGAAGGGCGGCAGACGACTCTCCTCTGCTCATCCATCAAGCGTTGAGCTACAGCTACAGATAGTTCCACAGCTAGAGCTATGCATGCATAGCTGGATTCATGGACTGGGCCAGTTGATGTATGCAAGCCATAACAACAAACAAGCAGAGCAACAACTAAACAACTAAACAACAAAAAAGCGACAAATTTCGCCACACAGACAGAGGAACACACACACACACACACACACAGACACAGTCACTCTGTTACACAGAGAATGACGCATTCTAATTAGACAGTTCTTGCCATAGTCCACTTTATAGCTCGTATTTGTTTGGCCCAGCCATTTGATGAGCATATCAATGTCAACAGCAGCCACATGGCACCACAATCAACACAAGCTAACCATCCACAGAGATACACATACATATGTATATAAGTTTCTCTGTATTCGCATACACAGTGCGTATACGCAATGTGTTTAGCTGCAGCCTTTGTTTGCGATTGCATACCCTGCGAAGCGCACATTGAGGTGTCTCTTTGTAAGCGCAATGAATGTGCGTGAATGGAAGTTAAACAATACTCGTGTATAATATACTACTATTGCTACTACTATTTCTACTACTATTGTTACTATTGCACTACTATTGCTACTACTATTTCTACTACTATTGTTACTATTGCTATTACTATTTTCACTACTATTGTAACTATTGCCACTGCTTTTGCTACTTTTGCTAGTACTATTGCTACCATTATTGTTACTCCTATTGTTACTCCTATTGTTACTACCGTTGCTAGTTCTATAGCTACTACTATTTTTATCAGTATTGCTACTATTATTTCTGCTTTCTACTATTTCAGTTACTCTCATGATCATTCATAATCAGACTTGATTGGCCTGAGCAATGGCCTGAGAAGATCAAGAGATTTCTCTCTATCTCTTGTAGAGAGCTGCTAATGTTAACATTAGTATTACTGTCACTGTTAATAAAATACATCGATAATTATCGATATGTAATATAGTTTAGCTATATAGAAATACACTTCATCAGACATCTATCCTTATACCAGCTCCTAAAGCTCATTGCATCCCATAAAAGTTATATTATTTATATAAGATATATAAATATTTACCTCAATTATTCATTTCATAACCTTTCACTTTTTCACACATCCATTCAATGTCTTGATCAATCCACAGGGTATACTCTAGCTGCGCATACTCCCTCTCAAACTCAAGCGCAGCCTCATACTCTCCTCCATAGTTAATCCTAAATTATGTTTGACCACCAAAAGCATTATTTATTTCATGAGCTCATTCCGCTGTAATTAGCTTAATAATTCGAATTAGTTTTCGATGCGCGCTGCCTGCGCAGTTTGACCGCAAAAAACGTTTATTATTTCGAGCTGCTTCACACATTATTTAATATTTACAATTTAATACTTAATTGAATGGGCTTTTGGAAATTCGGCTGCTTTTAATGAAGCTGAATAGTTGAGGGCAATATTTGACCACAGATTCAATAAGCGTGAAGGCTTTGGCGTGAGATCAAACAGACAGTTTGAGAGATAATCAATTAAATAATTTGATGTGTATTTATGCCCAATTATTAAAAAGCAGAGCGTTGCTTGGCTGTGCTATCTGTCTGCCTTCACATTACAGTCGATAATTATCAATGGAAAGCTTGGGTCTTGTATCTCAGCTCTCAAATACTCAATGATTAGTGGGAGTCGAATTGCTTAGACTCTGGCAGAGTTTTTGTGAATTCGATATAAAATTTATTTATAGGCATAG